CCAGCAGATGTTAATTCTACAAGAAATATTTGTAACTTCATACGTGATGCATGTAATATAAGAAAATCTATGTGACTATATATTTTATATTTGTTTACTGTATGTATGACTTGCGCCACATGTGGTTTTTGTCAAATTGAATAAATAAATAAAAAAAAAATGAAAAAAAATAAATGATATTACTATTTTATCATAATTAAGTCCCTTTGCTAAAATCGACGCAATTTACTGAATGTCACCTATCATGGATCATCATTGAACATATAATGAATCAATGTGAACAGAACTCATCTAACCAAAAACTATATGATGAAAAATGATTGAAAACTGCTCAGTTTTTAATTTATAACAGAGAATGTTAACACCTAAGCATTCATAGGGAAAATCCACATTAGTCTTTTTGTACAAGGAAAAAAAACTTTTCAGCATTATAGACACATTAAACCACAATAAATAGAGGAAATTCGCGTCACAACTTTATTTGAAGTATTCTATACTGGTTGCAAGTGGCGAGACCATAATTTAACCTTACTTGTGTCTAACATTACATTTATCGGCAAAAAAACGATAATTATTTTTATTTTATCTTGTTAAAATACTGTCTTACTTACAATAGATCGGTTTTTATTGCGAGTTTACTAATCATAACCAATTTGTTCTCTCGAGTGCAAACAGCTGATTAAGTTGGATGCCGATCTCGATGTTTAAAAACATTAAACAGTTTATAGTACACTTCTGCTGTCGCTTTATTTTCCCTAATAGTTTTTTTTTCCAGTCAAGTAATAAATATCTAATTAAATTAGTCATATATTGCACTTCTTCTTATGTAATTTTAGAGATGAAGTATCACATGAAAGCCCACATCAGATGCCGATCGCGATGCAATAGCGTCGAATGTCAAACACTTATTTTTCAAGATTTTGCTGAAAATATTCAAAAAACAGAATTCTTTAACAGTCTTGGAACATTATTACTTCGATTTTACTTCATTTTAAACACTAATTGCGTCTATATAAGGCGATTACAACTTTCTCTGGGTCTAATTATACGAGTGTCGAATTGCACGGCTACCGCTTTTTTCAGAGCGACACTGAGCACTAGCGACAGTTTTCACTGGTACAGCGGGACAAACAGCTAGACAGAAGCAGGGCTTGGAGCACGTGGATTGGCGGAATCAAAGCATGTAAATATAAGGAATAACTGTCAGATTTTTCAATTTCATGAAGATGATCAATCGATTGGCTTGCGTGATAATTTTATGCATTTATAAACGCCTTCGGAGTTTATGCAAATTATCACGCAAGTTAATCGATTGATCACTTCATGAAATCGAAAAATAAGACAGTTATTCCTTAAATCAAAGCGTTTTAAGCGATTTTATAACAGTTTAATTAAAACTTTATTCAATTAAATACATAATGGTGCACAAAGTGAAAAAAAACATATTGTATAATTGAGAGATTATGAGTAAATAATCCGTGAATGCATACACAAGTATTTTTTTTAAGATAATAGGCCCATTGGCCACAACACTCACCTGCATGATTACTTTAATAATAAAATGCTTTCTTTGGTTGCTAGTATGGGAATTAATGTCGAAACTATTGCAGAAAAAACACATAACCCACGTAAGCGGGTTATGAAATGTTTACTGCAATAGCTGCGACGTTAAGTTCCGTGCTATAACAAAAAGAATTAAAGCATTTTATTGTTTATATTTACATCTGCATTAAAACTCAAACTAAAATTAAATTTGTTTGAATATTGTATTTAAGATAAATATCATTGAATGAATGACATTGTGTGCATCAGTGATGGAAAAAACATTGTTTAAGAAATCTACACATGTGGTTTGCTTAGTGTTGTTCAAGCACTGATTAATGGCAATGGTCTTCATAAGAAATTTAAAAAAATATTCAGTGGATGTAAATATATGTATCTTTGGTCCTGCTGTGTTTGTAACCAGATACCCCCCCCCTTAAATTGTATTATACCTATTGTAGCTCCACCCTATCCCTTTGGGTCATAATTTAAATAATTTAGAATACGCACTTCCCCAGGATGTTTCCACATTAGATTTTATACGCTTTTCTGGTCAAGTTTTTCTTGAGAGATTTTTTCTACATATACCAATGTAAAAGTTGGATTTCTAATTATGACCTCGCCCTTCCCACTGGGATCATGATTAGAACAATTAAAAATCTACACTTCCCTACAATGCCCAATAATTTTTGAGCTTTTCTGACCTACTGGTTCCTCATAAAACGAGTTATTCTCAATATTTCAATGTTAACTTGGATTTTTTATGGCCCGCCCTTCGTCTGGGGGTCTTTACTTCAAAATTTTTAAATCTAAACAATCCTGAATGCTTCCATGCTTGTTCCACCAAGTATATACTTTGTTCTAAGTTTGATTAAAATTTGCTCGGCGGTTCTTGGGAAGTTGAAAAAAAAAGGAATGTGAAACGTTTTAAGAAGGACGGACGACCGACAACAACTGATCAGAAAAGCTCACTTCACTGTCAGTTTGACTAAAATGGTACTGTTTGATGTTATTTGGAAAGAAAAGTTGTTTTCTTACAAATTACACATGTATTTTTCAAATTTAATCCTGCTTTTTGGCCAATTCTAACCAAGGTCATAAACTTTTTTTTTTGAAGAATCAGGATTTAATCATCACGACTTAGGAATATTTGCAAAGTAATGATTTTATTGTCATTCTTGAGAAGATTTGTTTTTTCCTTACATAGTCCATTATAAAACCATCCCTTTTTGTGAACCCACTCTACTCTGGGACCATGATTCGAACAAGTTACAATCAACGTTATCTCAGGATTTTTTTTAATTGATCTTCTCGTTTTTCTCTTATCCAGTGCTTTTAAGATTTTCCCTAATAATTATCTTTCCCTTATAATGTAAAACCTTGATCCCCTAGGTCACGCAAGTCGTTTGACCCCCCACTCAAACGTTTAGTGTGAGACCATTCATCGATGCCCTAAACGTGTAGGTGACCTATAGCTATAGACTATCCCCTAGAGTGACCCCCTTCTCATTCCCAAAGAGGGGGAAACGGGTGCATAACTTGAACCATGAGAAATTACTTTATTTCTGAAAACTTCCCAATGTGTCAGTTGAACCTTTCTGATCCAGTGGTTTTTCTTTGTTTTTTTCTATATATTTCACTGTAAAATGTTGATTCTATATCGTTACATTAACCTTTCCATACCCCATGACTGTAGAGTCTGTATTGCCTTAAGATGTCTTTATTTGAATTCTATCTTTTCTTTTTCATTTGATATTTACAAGGAAAAAGAATGGGGATAACAAACAGTGAAGTTTTAAAACAATGAGATTTTTTATTTATTTTTCAATATCAAACTTTGATCACTATTACATGTATATCTGAAATCTTTCAACTGCAAGGATTTCAGAATTTCGGATCAGTTGAATGTTTTAAACATGTTTTAAGTTGTTATCTTTTAAAAACCCTCTCTTTCCCGTGAAAAGAACTAAACTGATTACTTTAGAATTTCTACTACCTAAGATACATGTAGCTTTAAATTAATTTCATCTTTGGTGAGAGGTTTTTCAAAAGATTTTTTGCAATTCCTTAATTTGGTATATTATAGTGTTAACTTGCTTGGAAAAGTCGAAAACGTGAGAAGTTTACAGAAAGACAGACGCCGAAGAAAGTATGAGCAGAAAAAAAATTACTTGAGCTTATAGCTCAAGTGAGCTAAGATTTAAGAAATCTTTCTCATCTCTTATCGAAAAACATAAATAATTAATACAGTTAGCTTATTAGAACAATTAGATTAAGAGTAAAATGGTTTTGATATGTTGAATAACATTTTATCAATGCAAAATCTTTAAAAATCAGTGTTTGTGTTAGCTCACTAGGTCATCAACTGAAACTAGTAGCTATTCACTTAGACATTCATCGGACTTACATGTAACCATGTCTTTATGCATAAAGACTAAGTTTTCTATACATAAAAATTAGGTATATAAATTTTAAGCCTAACATCCAGTCTTTCATATGTAGCGCTGTTTTCTCTAACAAAGACACTTTTTTATATGATCATAAGCCATAATGTGTTAATTTGCTCTTATACAAGATATATATACTAATTTCTCATTTTCTTGTTATCATTCTCGCAAGGACAGGGGTCCTGAATCATTCTGTTGCAGTGGGACCCCTGGTACTTGTATTTCATTTGACAGTTTTTTGGATTGCTCCTCTAATTGACAACTTTAATTATTTATTTTCTATTTCAATAACTTCTGCAACACTGAAAGGGAGCTAATTAAAACGAATACACAGACATATGCATCTTAGTGTAGAAAATGTTCAGCATTTCTATATATGAATCAAAAAAGTATTTCACATGTCTTTTTATTATACCTCGTATTACCCATAGCCTTTGTCAGAATCGAAATTATGCAAGAACATCTATAGTTAATTTCCTACCAAGTCTCAATGAAAACATGCTAAACTATCGGAACAGTACGTCTGAGAATTTCACAGATATTTCTAGCTTTAGTAACCAGTGCATCCTTCTTTTATTTCAAAAACTAATACACAAAATTATGTTTAAGTTTTTGAGAAGAAAAATTTATCAAAATCGGTCATAAACATTTAGAAGAATAGGGTTCAGAAAAAAAGGTTGTAGGCAGATATACATTTGAGAGTGTATATTTGGATTCTTAACTGATTCCCTTCATTGCAGCCCATAATTGAGATGTTTAAATAAATCAGACTTGGTTGTAGATGAATGGCACTTAAAAAGAATTAAATTTAGTATTGATGACTAATACTTTTACTCAGATTATAATTAATTTAGAATATTACGCAGAATGGGGTTCTAAGACGGAGGGTGGACACTTATCAGGAGTTTTTCTAGACTTCGACCAACAAAGTTTTTTTATGAATAGTACATTTATAAATATTCAAATCTTAATTACTAGTATATGTTTCAGCTCCGTCCCTATACATTTTCTTTTAAAAGTACATGTATTTACACAAAACTATCGAACACAACACTTTGCACACTTTTACATGAGTCAATTCGTTGTTTGAACAGAGATGCCATTGTAGCCACATCTTCTTGACTGCTGCTGACAAAATAAACTTCACGAAGATGGTGACTGGACTTGCTAAAGGTTTCTCTGAGGAAATGCAAAACACCTTCAATCCAAGCCTTTGTTGCTCTGCTTTTTTGAGCTCCTTTATTTCCTGTAAAATATTTTAACCATCTATGCATAAAATTGTAGCAGCTGCTTGAAATGTTTAAAACACTAAATTAATTTGATTCCATTTTTAATCACAACTTAAAAAAAATGAAAATATCTTTAAATGCTGATAAAGGGTAATTACATGTAGATATGCGGTAAGCTGAATACATCATAGAGATTTCATATACGTGTATTATATTGGCATCGCCCGCTAGGCACAGTGCTTAGAGCATCTGCTCTAGAGTCGGGAAGTAAGGAGTCAATCCTTACATCACGGGTTCGAATACCACTGTGGGACGTGGAGACCAGTCCTTCAGATGAGACTGTGTAAACCGAGGTTCCGTGTCCCAGTAGGTGCTGGCATGAAAAAGAACCCTCACTGCTCAATGACCCTGAATGTCGAGTATAGGGCAAAATTTGTAGCTCTACACCGGCAAGTGGTGGCATCTACATATGAGTGAAGAGGGAAGAGGGACATTCAACAACATAAAACCAATCATATTGGACATACAGGTTCATTTGGCATAAAATTCTTTAATATCTACGCCCCATGAATTGATGGAAAATTCCCTATTTGTTTTTAATTCAATCACTCAAAAATAACAATAATTAACTAGAACTGTCCAAATAGGACAAAATACCCCCTCTGGTTTTTTCAGAAGTAAGTTTTTCCATAATAAAGATATGTATTACACATGAATTATGAAATATTTCTTCCAGTGACCTTGAACTTCCCCTAAAGACCTTGGGTAACATTCAAGACACATCAAGACAAACCTCATGGGCAATCTTTGTGTGAAATGAGAACCTTCCAAGTTTATCCATCAAAAAGATATCAACCAGATACAACCTATAAATTTTACTTCTAGCGACCTTGAACTTCCCCAAATGACCTTGGGTAATATTCATGACACACCCTACGGTCATGGGCAATCTTTGTGTGAAATGAGAACCTACCAAATTTATCCATAAGAAAGATATGGACCGGACAAAAATTATGAAATTTTTTTCCAGTGACCTTGAACTTCCTCAAATGACCTTGGGTCATGGGCAATCTTTGTGTGAAATGAGAACCTTCCAAGTTTATCTATAAAAAAGATATGGACCAGACACGAATTATGACACTTTTCTTCCAGTGACTTGAACTCTAAATGACCTTGGGTAACATTCATGACAAACCCTAAGGTCATGGGCAATCTGTGTGAAATGAAAACCTTCCAAGTTTATCTATAAACAAGAGGCCCAGGGGCCACAACGCTCACCTGAGCACATTGGCTAGGAAAAAGCACATATCAGATCAGAACTGAAAGTTTACGGGGGGGCTGAATTTTAACACTCCAGGGGTTCATGATTTTAACAAACTAGAATCTACACTACCTGAAGATGATTCCATATTAATATTTTATGACACTAATCATAGCTTTGAAGTACTTGAAAAGATGATTTTAAAAGGTTTCCCTATCAATCCCTATGTAAAATTGGGTCAGCCATTTTGGCCCCACCCTAGCTCCGGGGGTCATGATTTGAACAAACTTGAATCTACACTACCTGAGGATGCTTCCACATGAGTTTCATCTTTCCTGGCCCAGTGGTTCTTGAGAAGAAGATTTTAAAAGATTTTTCCTACTTATTTCTATGTAAAACTTGGGTCGGCCATTTTGGCCCCACCCTAGCCCCGGGGGTCATGATTTGAACAAATTTGAATCTACACTACCTGAGGATGATTCCACATGAGTTTCATCTTTCCTGGCCCAGTGGTTCTTGAGAAGAAGATTTTTAAAGATTTTTCCTGTATATTTCTATGTAAAACTTTGGTCGGCCATTTTGGCCCCACCCTAGCCCAGGGGGTCATGATTTGAACAAACTTGAATCTACACTACCTGAGGATGATTCCACATGAGTTTCATCTTTCCTGGCCCAGTGGTTCTTGAGAAGAAGATTTTTAAAGATTTTTCCTATATATTCCTATGTAAAACTTAGGTCGGCCATGTTGGCCCCACACTAGCCCCGGGGGTCATGATTTGAACAAACTTGAATCTACACTACCTGAGGATGATTCCACGTGAGTTTCATCTTTCCTGGCCCAGTGGTTCTTGAGAAGAAGATTTTTAAAGATTTTTCCTAACTATTTCTATGTAAAACTTTGGTCGGCCATTTTGGCCCCACCCTAGCCCCGGGGGTCATGATTTGGACAAACTTGAATCTACACTACCTGAAGATGATTCCACGTGAGTTTCATCTTTCCTGGCCCAGTTGTTCTTGAGAAGAAGATTTTTAAAAGATTTTTCCTGTATATTTCTATGTAAAACTTTGGTCGGCCATTTTGGCCCCACCCTAGCCCCGGGGGTCATGATTTGAACAAACTTGAATCTACACTACCTGAAGATGATTTCACATGAGTTTCATCTTTCCTGGCCCAGTAATTATTGAGAAAAAGATTTTAAAAGATTTTTCCTATATATTCCTATGTAAAACTTGGGTCGGCCATTTTGGCCCCACCCTAGCCCCGGGGGTCATGATTTGAACAAACTTGAATCTACACTACCTGAAGATGATTTCACATGAGTTTCATCTTTCCTGGCCCAGTGGTTCTTGAGAAGAAGATTTTAAAAGATTTTTCCTATATATTCCTATGTAAAACTTGGGTCGGCCATTTTGGCCCCACCCTAGCCCCGGGGGTCATGATTTGAACAAACTTGAATCTACACTACCTGAGGATGATTCCACATGAGTTTCATCTTTCCTGGCCCAGTGGTTCTTGAGAAGAAGATTTTTAAAGATTTTTCCTATATATTCCTATGTAAAACTTGGGTCGGCCATTTTGTTCCCACCCTAGCCTTGGGGGTCATGAAATGAACAAATTTGAATCTACACTACCTGAGGATGATTCCACATGAGTTTCATCTTCCCTGGTCTAGTGGTTCTTGAGAAGAATATTTTTAAAGATTTTTCCTTTATATTCCTATGTAAAACTTGGGTCGGCCATTTTGGCCCCACACTAGCCCCGGGGGTCATGATTTGAACAAACTTGAACCTACACTACCTGAGGATGATTCCACATGAGTTTCATCTTTCCTGGCCCAGTGGTTCTTGAGAAGAAGATTTTTAAAGATTTTTCCTATATATTCCTATGTAAAACTTGCGTCGGCCATTTTGGTCCCACCCTAGCCCTGGGGGTCATGATTTGAACTAACTTGAATCTACACTACCTGAGGATGATTCCACGTGAGTTTCATCTTCCTTGGCCCTGTAGTTGTTGAGAAGAAGATTTTTAAAGATTTTTCCTTTATATTCCTATGTAAAACTTGGGTCGGCCATTTTGGCCCCACCCTAACCCCGGGGGGTCATGATTTGAACAAACTTGAATCTACACTACCTGAGGATGATTCCACATGAGTTTCATCTTTCCTGGCCCAGTGGTTCTTGAGAAGAAGATTTTTTAAAAATGCCATTAATTTTTCTCTAATTCGTAATTATCTCCCCTTGGAAAAGGGCGTGGCCCTTCATTTGAACAAACTTGAATCCCCTATACCCAAGGATGCTTTGTGGCAAGTTTGGTTGAAACTGGCCCAGCGGTTCTTGAGAAGAAGTCGAAAATGTGAAAAGTTTACGGACAGACAGACAGACAGACGGACGCCGGACAAAATGTGATCAGAAAAGCTCACTTGAGCCTTCGGCTCAGGTGAGCTAAAAAGATATGGACCGAACACAAATTATGAAATTTTTCTTCCAAGGACCTTGAACTTCCCTAAATGACAATGGGTCAAGATCATGACACACCCTTGGGTCAGGGGCAATCTTTGCATGAAATAAGAACCTACCAAGTTGATCCATAAACAAGAGGCCCTTGGGCCTTATAGGTCACCTGAGAATCATGCAACAACTGTCAAATGATAGAATTTGGCTAAAGTTTTAAGGCAAATGTTATGGCATTCACAATTTTGAAAGAGGCTGGCAGTCTGGCACATTGCTTATCATAATTATGAACTTTGCAATCGCTTAGTTTTGTTACTTAAAGGGGCTGGGTGGTCGTGGCCATTTTTAGACTATTTCTATCTCCTTTAGAAGAAGAGTTCCATATAAAGATAAACAAAAATAATCAAATTTTAAAACTAATATGTATGAAATTTTTCTTTGTCAAATGATAGAACTTTGACAGCTCAAGATATCATATCATTTAAGTTATATTTGGTGGTTAATTTGTTGTTAATTTGTTGACCCCAAGCCTTAATACCCATGGACTGGATAGGGGAACAAAAACCAAACATGAACCCCTGACCCTAGGTCAACACATTGCACAATTTTTGAAAAGGCACACTTGCTTATCAAAAATGTTTGATTAATACCAAGGAACAGATTTCAAACAATTCATTTCCAGTATTAAGTAGAGCCCTACCCCCCCCCCCCTCCCTGGTATCCCTGACCCAGGAGCCGGCCAGGTCACCAATATGGAAGAAAAACCTTTGCACATCATAACTATATTAGTAGTTCATCTGCTTATTAACCAGGAGCAGAGAAGAAGATTTTCAAAAAATTAATGTATTTTAACTATATAATCTTTATAAAGCCCCGCCCTAACACCAGGACCCCTGACCCTGGGGCCATGAAATTCACAATTTTAAAAGAGGCACTCCTATTCATCATAAGTATGTACTTAAGTTATTTTAATTAATATCCAGAAGCAAAGAAGAAGATTTTCAAAGCATTAATGCATTTTTACTATATAATCAATAGAGCCCCGCCCTAACACAAGAAGCCCTGACCCTGGGGCCATAAAATTCACAATTTTAGAAGAGGCACTCTTGCTCATCATAACTATATACTTAGTCAGTTTATTTGATACCCAAAAGCAGAGAAAAAAATTTTCAAAGAATTAATTATTTTCACTATATAATCATTATAGAACCCCGCCCTAACACCAGAACCCCTGACCCTGGGGCCATAAAATTCACAATTTTAAAAGAGGCACTCTTGCTCATTATAACTATGTACTTAGTTAGTGTATTTAATACCCAGGAGCAGAGAAGAAGATTTTTAAAGAAATGATGCATTTTCACTATATAATCTATATAGCCCTGCCCTAGCACTAGAACCCCTGACCCTAGGGCCATGAAATTCACAATTTTAGAAGAAGCACTCTTGCTCGTCATAACTATATACTTAGCCAGTTTATTTGATACCCAGAAGCAGAGAAGAAGATTTTCAAAGAATTAATGTATTTTCACTATATAATCATTATAGAGCCCCGCCCTAACACCAGAACCCCTGACCCTGGGGCCATAAAATTCACAATTTTAAAAGAAGCACTCTTGCTCATTATAACTATGTACTTAGTTAGTTCATTTAATACCCAGAAGCAGAGAAGAAGATTTTTAAAGAAATAATGCATTTTCACTATATAACCTATATAGCCCCGCCCTAGCACTAGAACCCCTGACCCTGAGGCCATGAAATTCACAATTTTGGTAGAGGACTCAATGCTGATTACAATCATGCAAACAGTTTGACTGCTTGATGTCCAGGAGTAAAGAAGAAGATTTTCAAAGATTGCACTAATTTTAGTGGTTTTGGCCCCACCCCCCAGGCCCCAGGGGGGCAGGGACCATGAAATTCATAATTTTTGTTCCCCTTCACCCATAGATGCTATATGTCAAAATTGGTTAAAATTAGTTCAGTGGTTTCAGAGAAGAAGCTGAAAATGTTCAAATGTTAACGCACGACGAACGACGCACGACGAACGACGACGGACAAAAACAGATAGCAATAGGTCACCTGAGTTTACTCAGGTGACCTAAAAAAGATGTGGGCCGGACACAAATTATGAAATTTTTCTTCCAGTGACCTTGAACTTCCCAAAATGACCTTGGTTCAAGGTCATGACACACCCTAGGGTCATGGGCAATCTTTGTGTGAAATATGAGAGCCAACCACGTTTATCCATAAGAAAGATACGGACCGAACACTAATCATGAAATTTTTCTTCCAGTGACCTTGAAGTTCCCCAAATGACCTTGGGTCAAGGTCATGACACACCCTTGGGTCATGGGCAATCTTTGTGTGGAGTAGTAGATTCTAATGTCCCTCCGTAAGAAAGATATGGACCGGATATGTTTGCACAGACAGACAGACACCTAAACAGACAGACAAGGTGATTCCAATTTACCCCCAAAATCTAACTTGTGATCATGGTGACAAACAAAACTTACCAGTCCCTAGTAGAGGCACAGCAATAGCCTTCTCTTGCGATTCCTCTGCCTTGCACAGTGTTTTTTTCACACAGAAAGTTACATCTGATAGAAATTCTTCCATATTTCTTGTTCTTTCTGTAAATGATTTGATGATAACATAATAAATCATGCAATCTTTACTCTTCACCTGGAAAACATCTCCTGTTCGAAAGGGTCCTTGATTCTTCTTAATGTCAGAAATCTGCTTTTTAACATCTTGTTGAGATTTAAACTGTTTAGCAATGTTACTACTGCTCTTAAAATCAGAGTCTTGTCCACAACATACTGCATAGTCATGAGGAAATTCAAGAATATCTCCGAGCCATGTTATTACTTTGAAAAATTCAGTCAAGTTGTATTCCTCAGCTTGACCACCCTTCATCATCCTAATTTGACAATAAGGTTTGAATACTGTACTCATCACTGGAGGCTTCCCAATAGATGAACGTTGAACTTGTACCTTTGTTTGAAATGCATTACTTTCAAAGTGCTCTTTAAAACCTTTTCCTATTAATTCAACCATTCCATTCTCCCTGTCAATGAAATGAATTTCCTTTAAGGTAGAATATTTCAGCTGGGGCTGTTCTGAACTGAATAAGCAAACAGCTTCAGCATATATCCTTGTACACAATTTCTTGTTTGCATGATTTTGACCTAGTTAAAAAAAAGAACAAAATAAATTTATAAATGTTTGATCAATTAATAAGTTAAGTTACTAATCAGAAATCAGGAATTATGTTCCACATAAAATGATAATCAATTTGTTATACACAATCAGATGGTTTTTCTTTTTTGATTTTGGGTGAAGAAAAAAAATAGTGAAATTTAACCTATGCATAAACTTTGCTCAGTGCCTTTGTAAAATGTATCAAAGGGAAAAGTACCTGCACTAATAGCTGGTAGGGCAACAGACCTAACACCTAATCGTGTAGCTTCTTTCAGAATTGACAGTATGGATTGTTTCAAAATAGATCCTACATCAGAATTTGACTTGGCAGTCCAAATTGGTCCAACCACATGGATGACATATCTGTAAGGAAGTTTTCCTGGACCTGTTGTACAACAAAATCCTTTTTCTATTTCGCCCTTTGCTTTAACAAGGGCTTTACACTCTTCTGTGAATCCTGGACCAGCTGCATTTGCAATTGCTTTGGCAACACCCATAAAATTTTCCAATTTTCGAGTATTTGAACTGACAATGCATTCAACATTGAGATTGGTAATACTTCCTTTATATACTTTAATTTCCAAGTTTTCATTAGTGTAAAACCTTTGGACATTATTTGGTTCTTCATTAACTGATGTTCCACCTTCTGCTACAGGAAGTTTCCTAGATTCAATTGCTTTTTTCTCTTTTTCTATTTCTCTCACAAGATTATCTTTTAGTTCATTAATTTTTTCGTTTGAAAACCCAGCAAATTCTAACCAGCAGCTATCTAAGTTTTCAAAATATTTCACAAAAACTTCGAGCTGTTCGCGTTTTTTAACATTTTTTAGTAAATCTTTGAATACAAGATCTTGTGACTTCAACTGGTCTCTATTTATTTCTGCAAGCAATGCAGTTAATTCAGACTCAAGTTTTTCAATATTTTCCTTGTTTCCAGTCAATTTCAAGTTGCCATTTTCGTAGGTAAACTGCCTGCATAACTCTTTCCCTGACCAATAAGAATGGAAGAACAACAAGATTTCGTATTGAATCTCTTCCATTTGGATAACCAATTGATTCACATTTGATTTTTGACTAGGGAATGCACTTCCACCAGTAGAGGGGCTCTCAGCATTGAAAGATCTCTGGCTTCTTCTTGATTTTGAGATGTCTAAAGTATTAGCATGATCAACAGTTTGTGCTGTTGTACTTTGAGGAGGTGTTTTTCCAGTTCCTTGTGACTGGATTGAATGTTCAGTTGCAGATTTTATTTTTGTCAGCTCATTACGCAGATACTTGTGAGCCAAATGAATCTGTGGTAAGCTTCCAGTTAGCAACCATTTCCTTCCAGGTATTTCCTTTACTCTCACCCCACTTGAAGTTTCTATACCCTTCTGTAAGCCAATTTTATCTTTGAACTTTTCTAAAAACATACTGGATATCTGAGCATGAATGCAAACCACTGCCTGTAAAACAAGGGAACAATACACCAATTAACAACACTAGGAAAATCATTAATAAAATATGCAATTTTTATTACCAAGACATATAACAGATGTAAAATAAAATTGCATTCTTCAAATTAAAGTTTAATAAATATGAATTACTAGTAGGTTAAACTCCAAAAAGTTTAACTTTATGGTTAAGTATACTGTATGTGTACTTTAAAAAGTGGGCTTTATATTTTAGCGGCTTTGGTGCAGACAACAATGTGCTAATACATGAATACAGCTAATAAATCATTTACATATATATACAATACACTGAACGGACATGTGTAGCGCTAATTTATGATTACGCCAACAACTCCATACCCAGTGAATAGGCAAAATTTTGAATATGCCAAATGATGTACATGTACAGTATACACTATGCAAACATTCAAATAAACCTTATTAAGCTTAAACATCTTCAAAGTTCTTTAAGAATTAATGTCCATGTCTTGAGTTACCATGAGGTAATAACTTGGGAACAGCAAGGAAGCTGCTTCTGTAAGAATTAATGATCTTTTGCTCACAAGCTTTTTATATTCCTCATCAACACAAAATATATTAGTCTATATGCATTCAACTTCCTTATTATTGTATATTCTTTGGTCTGGCTTTTTTTAATTCATAGATTTATCTTAGATACAGAAGCTTTTCCTACAAATATATCAATGATATAATTAATATGATGATAAATCTCTGATTTTGCTTGACATGTATGGTTCTAATTGACAAGGGCTTGCAAATATGATGTAATTTAATCTTTATTTTAAATCCCTTGTCACATATTCACTAATTACGATTTTTTGTTATATGTTTATTTATGGTTTTCCTATTGTTTATTTTGATGTTGTTTTTTTTTAATGAAAGTTTGTTGTTTAACATTCCTTTAGAGACCTTTTCACTCATATGGAGTAAAATTAAAGAGTTAAAAAAGAATTATGTTTTCCTTATTTTCAGCTGTGCACAAAATTTATATATAACTGTTCAGAAAAGGCATATTATTAATCATACCTGATTGGGTAGAAAATCTAGCATAATTTCTACTTCTGGATTTTTCTTGTATTGTTCTATCACTTTTGCAGCATCTAATATTAACAAAAGCATTGAATTTATATTCAAACCATAGGCGTCGGAACCGGGGGGGCTAGGGGGGGGGGGGGGCTTAGCCCCCACACTTTTTTTCCAAATATATACTAAGAATAGGCATTGAACATTGCTTCGTAGGTTTAGCCCCCCCCCCCCCCCACATTCCACCGACATGTCGCAGTAAAGGTTAAAAATGGGTAAAGTAGTGGAGTTTGGAAAAAAAAAATTGGGTACTGAAGTTCGAACCTAACCCCCCCCCCCCCCCCCCCCCCCCCCCCCCCCCCCCCCCCCCCCCCCCCCCCCCCCCCGCCCCCCCCCCCCCCCCCCCCCCCCCGAAATAGCACAATTTAATCGCCCTTCGGGCAAATTTTTTTTTTTTTTTTTTTTTGCTTGTCAAGTTTTTTTGGAAGGTATAAAAAATTTTTTTTATACACTTAGCCCCCCCACTTCAAATTTGCTTCCGACGCCAATGCAAACTAAGGAATTTAAATATGTTTTAAAAGATATTTTGTATTAAAAATGAACTCAATGGTAGACAGAATAATCAATGACACAATTACAGCCGTAATTCATGCATATACATAATTCTTTTAAAAAATTTCATTTAATTGTCATGAGCTTTCTTCCTGAAACGGAAAAAAGGAGAAAATATGCATTTAGTTTTTTCCCATTTGTCGGATGTCAAATTTACGCATGTCAAAATTAGAGAGAGATTTTCATATCATGTTTAGACAAAAAAGCAAACTGGCTTAAAAAAATTGCTATTAAAGTAAAAATATTTTTTTCGATATAGAGAAAAAACACATTTTATAAAAAGATTTTAAAAAGATCTTTTAATAAAAATACAGGAATTTCTGAAATAAGATGACTATCTTCTGAAGTCATGTATTACTGTCTATTAAGGTCATGTACTTAATAAACTTGTCGGTGTTGCTATACAGTGAATTTTTGGACATCAAGTCTCAACTCCGATATTTCGACACCTCTTTTATATTGACATCAATAGTCCTCCCCATGTCAAGATAACAAAGTTTAACAATCCATCTTTTGAATAAACTTAAATCTCCTTCACCCAAAAATACTTTGTAGCAAGTGTGGTTGAAATTGTCAAGTAGTTCTTGAGATAAAATAAGAAATATTGTAAAAGGATTATAGAGAGATAGATGGAGAGATAGGATACATTTCCATCATTTTAACGTTAACGAAAAATAGAGAATTGACCCATTCATTTTTTAAGGATCTAGTAAACCCATTTCCACTAAATATGCTGAATGGTCAACTTTGAAGAGATTGTCAAATGATACGTCATTCAGTAAAATAAAATAATGAAATGTTTTGAAGATGAAATTACTAAGAAAATGATTTTAGAAAAATATACCTTTTCCGGAAATTTTCGAAAAGTAACATATTACAAACATAATATCTCAGAACGCGGGATTGTCCACGCCTTATATGACAACTTTCTTTACAGAATAAATATGCATAGGTGAAGAACAAAATACATTTTCCGAAATAAATCTTTTTTCATAAATTAAAATAAAATTGTTATTTTAACAAGACAACAAGTCAATTCTTTTTTTCAATAAGAGAATCAAAATTACATATAACTTACCAGTTGCATTTTCAAAGACAATAAGGGCCATATTTTCTTTTTCATATGGATGAATGACTGCTTTTGGATTAAATGATTTTGTTATTTTTGCAATCTTTTCAGTATCAACTTGTCTGCTGACAAAAGTTACAACAAGACATGACCTCTCCTCTTCATTTCCAGCTGGATACCTGCAATGTAATGAATAAAGATGAGGATGTTCTTTTATGACCAAATGGTGTGTGTAGTCCGACCAATGAAGACTTGAAGATTAATGCACTCCTTCCAAAAGCTTTTTACCTGCTTTAATTGGTTTAAAAAAATTTAATTGTACATTGACCCAAATTTTTCTATTGGTATTAGACTTGAATTTAATGTAACCAGGGATATGTATTATTTAATGCCGTATTATACTTGCGCTGCATATATGTGAGAATGTGGTGTGTAAGACTTTGTGTGAATGAGGTAGTTGTTATTTTTAGACACAGGACAGACGGTCACGTGACTTTATCCCATTCACCAAATTCCCGCTTTCACACACTAACATCGGGCACTCTTAGCCTAGCCGTCAAACTGGTTAGATGTCAATAACAGATATTAATATTTGTAAATCCCTGTGTGTGTCCCAGTAAGATAAATTTAAGAACTCAACTATTCTAAAGTAAAGTCTATTATGTTTTAATTATCTGTCTAAATGTCTGTCTATGTGTCGTCTATATCTTGTGTGTAATTGTAATATTTCAGGTTTTTGACATCTTATTTCATCGTTAATAAATATAATTGAACCTAAACCAGATTGTTATTTCTGATGTACTACCAGTCTGGCTACATTAACATCAAAACAATGCAACGCTTTCAAGGCTTAATAATGTTTAGGGTACTTTTTTCAAAAAAATTCTTCAAAGGTTAAGATAAAAAAAAATCTGTAAGCTGAATGCATTTTCAAAAAGAGACCCATGGGCCAGATTTACCATCTGAGCACTTTGGCTAGGAAAGAGCAGAAATCAGTTCAGTATCTAAAAGCTTGAATATATAAAAACTGGTCCCAAATTTAACCCCACCCCATCCCATAAGGGCATAACTTGAAGTACTGTAGACATACCCAGTATTTTTTCCATGGTGTCATAATTCTGCCTAATCTCACTTACTGTTTAATTCATGAGCAGAAAATGATGTGGGTTTCTAAGACTATCACTTTATGCCTTACATATACAGATTGACTCTTGTCAAAAGTATTTGTAAAAACTTCCCATCGCTTATATTAAAATTTGGTAATGCATTTGTTTAAGTCATCATTTTCAGTAACAAAAGTAGAGTTATCGCTCTTACCCAACATCTAAATTCACTAGGACAGACATTTATCACGCGATTGCTTTTGTCTGCATTAGTTACTTATGGACTGTGAACAACCATGGGTAGAAAGGGGAAGGAATTATGTTTCAAAGAGAAACAGTCAATTTTATCACTTAGAAAAGCAAGTTTGACACTACAAGAAATTACAGATATTATTGGAAGGCCATTATCAATGGTTGCATACATTTTTGAAGCGTCAAGGAACAACTGAAAATGTCGAAAACAAACCAAGAGGTAGCTGACTTAAAAAGTGCAGTGCACAGGAGGAATGTCAAACTTTTCCGATGGTGAAAATTGCAGTCAAAGTTTAACAGCATAAAGGAATGTAAGAAATGTTTGAAACTGGTCCTGGAACTGTCCCAGAAAGCACTGTGAAAAGAATATTAATCGAGATGGATACAGAAGGAGACTGGTGAAGACAAGAGGCCCATGGGCCTTATAGGTCATCTGAGTATCACGTAACAACTTTCCAACAATTGAATTTGGTTCGTGTTTTAAACCAGAGGCCATGAAATTCACAATTTTTAAAGAGGCACCATTGCTTATCATAATTATAAACTTGGCATGCTTACGCTATTTATTTAATTCCCAGAGGTAGATCAGAGTAACAGAGAAAATGCACTTCCACACTTTAACCAGTTGTGCACCCCACCCCAAAGGAACCACTGACCCTGGGGCCACATATTTCAAAATTTTGGAAATTTTATCATAAATTTTATTTCATCATAAACGGTTGATTAATACCAAAGAGCTGATTTCAAAGCATTAATTTAATTTTAGACTATGTAACCCTCCCCCCTCCGATATCTCTGACCCAGGGGGCATGAAATTAACCATTTTGCTAGATGCACCTTTCTCCATCATAAATATATATACTTGGATCATTAGCATAATACCCAGGAGCAAAGGAAAAGATTTTCAAAGAATTAATGTATTTTTACTATATAATCAAAAGAGCACCCCCTTACACCAAATGGCAAAACCTCTGACACAGGTGGCATGAAATTAACCATTTTGCTAGATGCACCATAACTATGTACTTAATTAGTTTATTTAATACCCAGGGGCAGAGGAGAAGATTTTCAAAGAATTCAGGCATTTTCACTATATCATCAATAAAGCCCCGTCCTAACACCAGAACCCCTGACCCTAGGGGCCATAAAATTCACAATTTTAAAAGAGGCACTCTTGCTTATCAAAACTATGTACTTAGTTTATTTAATACCCAGGAGCAGATAAGAAGATTTTCAAAGAAAATAGTGCATTTTCACTATATAATCTATATAGCCCCCCCTCCCCTTAGCACTAGAACTCCTTACCCTGGGGCCATGAATTTCACAATTTTGGTAGAGGACTCAATAGACATTACATTCATGCTAACAGTTTGCCTGCTTGATGTCCAGGAGTAAAGGAGAAGATTTTTAAAGATTTCATTAATTTTAGTGGTTTTGGCCCCATCCCTCAGGCCCCAGGGGGGCAGGGACCATGAAATTCAAAAATTTTGTTTCCCCTCACCCATAGTTGCTGTATACAAAATTTGGTTGAAATTGGTTAAGCAGTTTCAGAGAAGAAACTGAAAATGTTCAAATGTTAACACACGACAGACGAAAACGGATAGCAATAGGTCACCTGAGTGACTCAGGTGACCTTAGCTGCAGATCTGTAGCTCTCCGAAAAAATATATATCGATAGACCGGAGAGCTACAGAGCCACCCATGAAAAAACTGTATATTTATTGCGCACAAAAAAATGCGCTCGGTTCTCGATTTATTTCTCCATGTTTTAAAAACTGTAATGTCAAAATATTACTAACCGTGTGTTCCTAACATATTCTTTGACTCTTTCCATAACAAAACATTCTGAATAATTGTTTTTAATAGTCCTTTTGGCCCTGAGATTGCAATCATCGAACATTTCGCTTATTTTAATACTGCCATTTTGGTTTCAATGATAATTCGGTCCAATTTGCTTCGTTCAGATGTCAACTACGAGAGAACTTGATAGAGGAAAGAGTAATTTTTTGAAATCTTCCATTTTTTGCAATTGAGGTAAGAATTTGGAAGAATTAATCAATAATCGAGCGCACTTTTTCGTGCGTAATAAATATACAGTTTTTTCAATGGGTGGCACTGTAGCTCTCCGGTCTATCAATAATTTTTTTTTCGGAGAGCTACAGATCTGCAGCTAAGGTGACCTAAGAATGTGTGAAGTGAAACAGATCGTGTGAAATGGTGCAAAAAAGAGAACTGTGGATGAGTACTGGAAAAAAGTAATTTCTACAGATGAATGTAAGGTTATGATCGATGGCAAATGACGTATATATGTAAGGAGAAAATCCGGAGTGGAAAGGGACTCAACTTGTATTGCACCACCCACAAGGCGATGTTTGGATTTAAAGACCTTGGGATGAATTACTTACAACGCAGTTGACACACATTGTGTTGGAGAAGGGAATGTACAGAAATAATTTACTATCATCTTCGACCCATTGTTGCAGCACATTTTATCAAATGATTACCTATATTAAAATGACAATGCCCCAATTCATAGGGCAAGGTCTGTGAAGGACAGGAGAACATTATAATGGAATTGCCTCCTCAAAGCCATAACAGTAAACCTGAATATAATTGAAAACGGTTGGCGAAAACTTAAACAGGAACTTGTAAAAGCCTGGTACAAAATTGAAAACAACAAATGACCTGGAAACGGCCATTTGACAGGTATGGGAAAATATCCATCGTAATCCAGGACCTTTACAGGAGTATTCCTTGCAGAATCCAAGCAGTAATAAAGATTAAGGGGTGTTTAACAAAACATTGAGGTATGATTAAACTTATAAAACAAGAAATCTGTGAGCCAATGCTCACTAGGAATACCTCCGCTCTGATGTGAATAAACACTAGCCTATCAATTTAATATACACAAGTTCCATTATGGACAGATGCACAAACAAAAAGGAAGTTGAAATCAGTTCATATCAAAATTAATCCCACCATATGGCATGCCTTGACAAAGTGTTCTAAAATTTCAAGCATCTGCTATGATTATAGTTGATGAGAAAACTGTGACAGAAAAAAATTGTTATGTAACTATGAAACGGACAGACGCAAAAACATTTAAAACAAACAGGAAGTTGACATCAGATTTGACCAAAAATATATCCCACCGTAAGACATGCCTCAGAGAAGATTGTGTTAAAATTTCAAGCATCTGCAATAAGTAGTTGCAGAGAAAACTGTGAGGAAAATTTGTTATGTATGAAACGGATAGATGCACAGACAAACAGGAAGTTGACATCGGATTTGAACAAAAATGTATCCCACCGTATGACATGTCTCAGAGAAGATTGTGTTAAAAATTCAAGCACTTGCCATGAGTAGCTGCTGAGAAAACTGCCATGAAAAATTTGTTACGGACAGACAGACAGCTAGACGGTAAGACAGACGGACAGACACACAAGGGTAAAACAGTATACCCCCCTCTCATTTGGAGCAGGGGTATAATGATGTAGCCAAAAGAAAAAAATCATGACCTGGTTTTGCTTACATCACCATCACTTTGTTTTTACAAATACTTTTGACACGCGACTGTAAATATCTTTTGACACATGACTGTATATAAAGTGACTGTATACAATATACATGTAGCATATTGAATTAATACCTTATGGTAAATTGTACTTAATATACAGTATACTATTTGAGGAATCATCTTTATTTCTAAACTTGTTTGATCTTTTTTGTGGTCCTTGTTTTCGAGGTATGGAGAGACCAAGAAATTTACAAGGTCATACCCTATTCTCAATAGTTTTACCTTGAGTAGTTGGCAAAAAC